GCGCGCCGTCATTGGTGATTCCACCGACAGGAAGAGCGAGGAGGAAGGCGTAGGTGTTTCCACCGACAGGAGGGGCGGGCTCGTATTGATCCCATGTGTGTGAAAGGTCGCATGTGAACTCGGTCCGAATCCCGGGGTGCACGACTGCGCCGGTGTAGGGCTTGCACCCGACAGAAGAAATCGGGATGCATCCGTATCTGACTCCGAAGCTCCGCGTCGAGGCGGGCGTCAGAATTGCCTTGTCCTGGTAGGGGGGATTGCGGTATCATTCCTCGTCCCGGTCTCCTCTCCATGTCGTCGCGGAGCCCGCGCGTCGTCGGAGAGCCACCGCGCGCGCAGCCACGGGACCCACATGGGTCCAGTCGCATGCGCGGGGCTCGCCGTCGGCGCGAGGGCCCGCGCCGAAGAGCGAAATAGAAAAGGCTGATGACCTGTGAACGGAGGTTGGCAACCGAAGGGTCGAACCTACCGTGGTGTCCGCCAGTAGAGGACGAGGTGAGTGAGAGAAAGAGTCTTTTTCCCCTCACGGCTCGATAGTCATCGGGTTCAATATCGAAACCAATACCTGAACCAACAAGATAGGAGGTAGATGGACAGATGGGGGAAAGGAGCGGTCTTCACACACTGATAGGATGCAAGGGGTATATGAGAGAGGAGGGCGGATGAGGAAAAATCAGGATTAGGAAATAATTAGCAGAAAGGCAGCGGGTCATGACGGAAACGGGTCCTGGACCCCAGGACCTTGCCCCAAAACGAGATCTTCATCCTGAGTCGTTTTCTGACAGTCCCTGGGCTCGTGGAGGGCCCGAAGACGGCGACAAACCTCAGAACACGTTTCCCTCAGGGCCCGTTTACAACACGGCGACAGGAGCAACCTGCTCCTGAATAGATCGGGGTGTATGGATGCCGGTTGGGGAGGTCTCCCGGACGCATGCCCGGGGGGGGCCCTCATGGGGATCTCCTGGAGCCGCTCTGGTTCCTGGGCTGACTGGGGAATCTCATGAGCCCGTCTTGGGGGCATCCTGGCCAATCGCGGCGCCATTCTGGCCCTTGGGCCATTTTTCGGCGGCGAGCGAGGGGGGAAGCAGAAAGGTGAGAAGGCCTTCTCGGCAGGCGGCGGGGCTTCTCAGAAAGCCTCTGGCTTTCTGAGAAGTTTTCTGTGTCGTCGGGGCTTGAAACACTTCTCAGAAGGCCGGGGGGCTTCTGAGCCTTTTGAGAAGGACCGCGCCCCTTCTCACTCCCCCCCCGGCTCGCCACCGAATCTTGGGTCGTCTCGGAGGTCGCTTGGGCGGTCTTGGAACCGCCTTGGGCTCATCTTGCGGCGTTCCTGGGCGTCCCAGGGCCCCAATTAGACCGTATTGAGGTCTTCCCTTGTTGGGCCGTCTTTGGTTCCTCTTTTGGCTCTGTTGAGTCTTTGCGGGGGGTCTGGAGCCGCTGTCAGCGCGCACAATATTGAAAAAATGCAGAATTGGAAATAATTTACGTGAGAACGTTGAGAATCAACGACAGTATGCTCTCGTGGGCCAGTGGAGCGCACACCTGAGGGCCTCACAGGGCTTGTGTGGAGCCTCCTCGACGCTATGGAGGCCATATTGGACCATCTGAGAACTGTCTTGGCCAAACTGTAAACGTCTCCTATCTCCCAGAAACCTCCCAGACGGTTCCGGGAGCGCCATCCCGACGCCTGGGACCCTCCCAGAGAGTGCCACGATTCGCCCGCAGAGCCCAGTATAATCCATGGAGGTTCGGGGTCCCTGGGATGGAGTTCGGGGCCTCGTCCCGCACGACAGTTCGAGCGCCCCCTGGAGCGCCTGTGGCGTGGCGCGGCCCGTGAATTGCACACCAGGACCGAAGAGCTTGCAGGAATCCCATCAGCCCTTTAGGGCGTGAGTAGTTCATAAAGCTTCCAAGCCCCCTCGGGCAAAGGTTTACCGGCTTACCAATTCCCTATACATGAACACCCCATCCCCCAGGCGACCGGCAGCCAACAAGGACCAATGAAGGCCCCACAACCATCCCTGTCAAAAAATGTAGTCCACTTTGGGGCTCATGATCGGGGGGCCGCGAGCAATTTGTATTGTTTTTGTTGACAAGGACGGCGGGGGTGCCCGCATGTTGCCTGCTGCGCGCAGGGCTGGTATCCCTGTCAAAAACAATACAAAATTTGCTTCGAGACAAATTCTGGATCATGCGAGGACACCCCGCGATCACTGTGCATTGGTTTTTGACTGGGACGGCGGGGTTGCTGGCATATTGACTGCTATGTGTAGGCCCACCAGACGCTGTGATGGCCAATCCGCCGCGATTGCGCACTGGTTTTCGACAAGGTTGGTGGGGGCCGACATGCTTCCCCATGTGTACTGCCACGTGCGCAGGCGCACCTGGCACACTCTGCGCGTGCCCCGAATGTGGCGCACCTGGCGCGGCTGGAGCATGCGGCACACATGGCGCACGTGGCGCATCTTGCGCACCAAGCGCGCTTGGCACGCTCGGGACACACTGGTGCCTGGCGCACCTGGCGCGCCTGGCGCGCCTCGCCCTATCGCTGCGCACATGGAGTCTGTTTTGGTTCCCACCAGCTCTTCATCCAGAGTTTAATTACCGTTGAATGTTGTGGCATGGGCGATATTGATGTGTTGGGAGGGTGGGTGGGAGTGATCGGCGGGAAGGCCAAAATCATAGATATTACTATGGTTTTGGCCACATGCTGGCCTCCTGGGGGGTGCGTAATCTAGTATCTAGTACGACCCCTCCTTTGATCGATCTCCTCCAAGATGGCTCTCGAAATTCTCAAGGGTGCCTCAAGACAGCCCCAAGAGGTTGCCAGGAGGCCCCGGAGAGGCCAGCCAATGCTTCCAAGAGGCTCCCAAGACCCCCAAGATGCCCCCAAAGGCTCTCCCACGGCACCCAAGATGTTTCAAGAGACCATCGGGGCCGCCATATCGCTGTCGGCGAGGGGCTTCAAGAACTTGGCGAACCGTTTCCGATCGGCATGGGGTGAAGGCTCTGTGTCCCTGAGGTCGGCATCCGTTCGATCTCGGAGCAGGGCGATATGGATTTCCACGCGTTCGTGGACCTTCTCGAGAGGACGGTCGAAAAGGAGATGTAGATGAACCAGCAGCCGCTTTCCCCGATTTCGACCTCCTGACCCTGAGACCGCTCAAGGTCATGGTCTGGGGATCTCGCCATACGTTTTCTTATGGTTTCTAGGTGAGCTGCTCATTACCAAATTATCAATCGTTTACACCTTCTCGTTTTCCTTCGCCACCTGAAGGGGCCCCGTGCGCTTCCATGCCTGGGCTGTAGTCCCTAGTTGCCTCGTGTTTCTCGGAACCTGCTGCCTCAATCGTCCGCAACCGCATCCTATTCCTCCCTCCTCCCTTCTCCCTCCTCCTCCTTCTCCTCCTCTTCCTCCTCTGGTTCCTCCTCTATCCTCCCCCATTTGGGGTATGACGGTCCCCCAGCCTTTTTCCACTGCGTGCTCCCCCAGATGCCTGATCAGGGCAACTCGCCTGGGCATCGTTTCTGGATGGGCTGGTCGGGTTACGCGAAGTCTTTAGAATCGGAGAGACGGTCCAAAAACCACCCCCTGGGAGAGTTGCTTGGGCTCGAGGCGGAAGTGTCTTCGTGGCTTCTCCCGCGACCCTGGTGAGTCTTCGGCCGTCTAGGGATGCGAATGGGGCCCTCTGGGACTATGAATTCAAAACTTCGACTTGCATGCCTCCAAAAGCTGTGTGAGGTCTCCTGCGCCTCCTGGGTGGGTCATCCGTGCTTCCCGGGGTTTCTCGGCCAGGTGTTGGGCATCATGATCGGGGATCGGAGGGGCCCGTTTTGGGAGCAGGGCCCGAAGGTCTTCTCGGGGGCCTCTTGGCAGCAGTTCTGAAGCCCTGCGGGCCATTGGGGGGCCTCTCATGGGCCTCCTAGGGGTCTCGTGGGAGCCTGTTGAAGGCCTCGAGTGACATTTTGGGGCGGAGGGACTCGACATGTTAGCTCGGGTTCTCCCCTTGGAAACTTATAGGGAACTAGTTGGGGCTTCTCGGGCGCGCCTAGCGGGGCTCTGGGAGGCTCTGGAGGCCATCTTGGAGCGGAAACCTGGAAATGTATGTTCCTGTGTTCGTTCTGGGCCCCCTCTTGGAATCGTCTGGTGGCATCTACAGCCGTCTTGGGCCTCTTGGGCTGTCTTGGCGTTCTCTTGGGCAGGTTTGGCGCCTCCTGGGGGCCTCTTGGGCCGTCTTGGAGCGATCTGGGAGACTTCTCGGGCCGCCATTGGAGCTTCGGAAAGCCGAAAGGGCGAGAACGGGACAACCCTTCAAGCACCATTCGGAAATCAATGGTTTTTGCTTCTGGGGGCTCTCGTGGAGGGCCTGTTGGGGGCTGCTGTGGGGTCTCTTGGAAAGCTTTTCGGACCTCCTGTTTTGTTTCCCACGGCACTTCCCCATGCCCAGACGATGCTCAGACGCCTCGGGGGCGCACCACCACCTCAGTACGGTGTGGCGCTGCATCAGGAAAAATACAAAATGTGCGGGGGCGAACCTCGTCAGAGTCCTCGGTTGAAAGCAGCCTGTACAGCAGGGTGGCGGCGGCACTGTGCACGGATCCGCCCTTCAAGGAACTCGTCGATGCCAAGGGTTGCAACTAATCGCACATCATGATGCGTAAAATAAAATGCGTCACAGACCCTGGCAACGCTAAGGTCGGTGTCTGCACTAAGGCGCGGCGTGAGGAGAAAGAGGTTGGAGAACCAATCGTGTCCGTGACTCGATACAATGGTGTGCAAATTGTGTGAATCGATACCCTGTGTCTCTAGCTTAGTAACATATTGACCTCAACTCACCACGTCCAGAAAGTACCACGTGCTAGCTGATTCACGATTTCCAGATGGGCAACGGGCCATACATGTCGATGGTGGGGGAGATCAAAGCTGGTTCTATACTCTCGGTAAGGTTCAGATGCCCCCTGCGGAGATATGTTTTCAATTCATCTTCCAACTTTCTGTCGACCTTCGAAGCGAGGTGGTAGCTAGCAGTGTTGTAGAAGCCTGTAAGTTTTTGCAGCCAGTCTGGACCAAGTGCGCTGATCTGTCTGAAACGGATACCGGTCTTCCCAAAAGCAGCGCTGCCGCCCGGCAGTGTGCCCGCTCCGGCAAAGCGAGTGCCGAAACCCGTCCCCGTCAAGGCATCGATCGCATCCGCGATCCACTGCTGCAGCCCTACGATCGCATCTGCACCGTAGATGATGCCCACATTGTAGCACTTGCTGCCACCCGGCACCGTCATGGAATTCCGGCCGCCACCGAAGCCGTTCAAGCTCAACTCTGTGTGCGCGAAGCCGTCGGAAAGGAAGACCGGTGACCCCGCTTTCGTGCAAACTGGACCTGCGGCGATGCTCATGCCAGCAGAAACCACAAGCTGCAAGTCCACGGTCCCGTCAGGGCCCAGCGCATCACACAATTCACCCTTGGCGTGATCGAGACAAATCTCAGCACCAATCCTGACACCTCCGACCTCAAAAATGCCGTCCTCCAGAATCTCAGTGTTTTTCTGACCAAACTTTTCCAGCAATTCTACCGGTGGAATTTCGTAGAAGCAGCCATTCGAGTCTGGGTGCAACTTGCAGAATGCGCGGCTGCCCGGAGGAGGCAGAGCAAGATCATTCTGCAAGGCCTCTGGGTTTGGCTGGAGGAAATCGATGCTGCTGATAAAATGCTTGAACACCAACATGTGACGCTTGCTCCCTCCAACATGGATGTTACCGAAATTGTAGTAACTGATGTTCTGGAAAGGTAAATTCGACATGTGCACAAATCTCGGATCTGCTGGCATTGCGGCGACCACCGTGCCGGTAATCCGCCGACCTCCGCTTGCCAATGGTGCAATGGCGTGTTGGATGAATGGCTGCCCCCCTCCCCCTTTCCCCCTCTCCTGGGGTCTGAAATCCCATTAAGGAGGGGGGCCTAAGTTTCTCAGTCTCCAATTCTATAGGGGAACAAAAAGTGGCATAAACATTAAAACGCGGAGTTCCGAGCGGATTTCTCGAATCGGCGCTGGGGTTCCCCCGGCGGCGCCTCTGGCGCCGCCCCTGGCGCGCGGAGCGCGCCAGGGAGGGGGGTCCAGCGCCGATCCGAGAAATCCGCGCGGACCTCCGAGTTTTTATGTTTATGTCACTTATTGTTCCCCTATTCTACACTCCGTGGCATCCACGATGCTTAAGATTGCATCTAAGCTTGCTGAAGCTGGGCTCCGACACACCACGGAGGCCTCAAAAACAACCGAGATGGCCTCAAGACGGCCCAAGAAGCATCCAAGACGTCCCCAGAGAGCTCCAAGAATCCCCCCGATAGGTCTTCAAAAAATCAAAATCGTGCCAATTCCGGAGGACAGTGTCAACAGCTTCCAACACGGCTGAGGCCCAAAAAATCGCTCCACAACGGCCCAAGAGGTCCAAAAGAGGGCCCCAAGACGGCCCGAGAGCCCCAGAACAGCCCCAGACACGCCCAAGACGGCCCCCAAAGAGCCTCAAGAAGGAGAACTCGAACTTCCATTCTGGTCCCTCCGCCCCACGATGACCCCTGAGAGCGCCAGCTGACGCCCAACAGACCCCAAGAGGCCCCCCAAAGGCCCCAAACATGCCCAAATTCGCCGGCCCAACGGGCCAGAGGCGTGCTAAGATCTCGGGTAACTGCTTTACCGTATTTCTATTTCGCACGCGGAGGGGGGCGGCCCCTGGGGGTCCCCGGAGGAAAAGTACCCCGGCAGGGTCGGATCAGAGATGGTTTTCCGTCTGGGCACCGCCCTCGAGACCCTCCAGAGAGCCCCAAGAAGGGTCAAGAGATCTCCGAGAGGCCCCCAAGATGATACAAGAGGGCTCGAAGATGCCACAAGATCGCTCCAAGACGCCCAAGATGGCCCCCAGACGCCCCAAGAGGCCTCCAAGAGCACTCTCAAGAGGGCCCCAAGATGCAAAAATCATTGCTTTTCCTCAGGTTTTGGATAGATTTTGGTGTTTCCACCTTTTCGGCTTCCCGACGCCCCAAGACGGCCCAAGAGGCCCCCAAGATCGCCCCAAGAGGGCCCAAGAGGCCCCAAGAGGGCCCCAAGACGGCCCAAGAGGGCCCCAAGACGGCCCAAGAGGCCTCCAAGACGGCCCAAGAGGGCCCCTAGAGCGCCCCAAGAGCGGCTCCAGAGGGGGAGCACGAAACAACATTTCGAGCCCTCGGTCCTGAGAGGCCTCCAGGAAGCCCCAAGAGGCCGCTAAGAGGCCCTAAGAGGCCCCCAAGAGCACTCAGGAGGCCCTCAGAATGAGCGAAGCGATTCAATAAACCCCTCAAACGGTTCCCAAGAGGCATAAGGCCTCACCCACGGACTTCGTTTCTCCTCTGGGAGCTGGAGGAATGGCGCAAGCTACTTGAATGAAGAGCCAATCATTGAATTTTGGGTCGCTCAAGGTTGTGTGCACAACCTGCCCGATCTTGTCGAAAACTTGGACCGTGCCAGGATCGTCGAGACGGTAAGCCCCATGGGGGCCCCGCCAATAGAATTCGGGCGCAGTGAAGACTTTGAGCGTGGTCGGGCTTCGGTCCAGATGCTCCGAATCGAAAGCATTATTGATGGCCTCAATCATAATGTCGGCCCGCCTTTTGACGTCCTCGCCGGCCTCTTCGCTTCCCAGATAGCACGAGCGCTCCATTGTGGCATCGTTGCCGAAGCAACCATCAGCAGAGGTGCCAGGGACCGTGAAGAGGTTGAATCCTAATAGCTGCACATGCGTGTACTTCGGCGTCACTTGCCCTGCCGCCGCGACCTCGGCGACAGGAAACAGATGCACAAAAGTCTCACCACCTCTTGAAGCAAAGGCTAGCACGGCGCATACAGAAATACTGGCCGCAACCATAGTCACGAGCCCAAAACGCCTGTGGCCAAGACCTGTCACATCCACTTCTCCAGCGACATGCTGCGACAACAGCGAGGATGACAGCGACATGATCGAGCTGCCACTACAACGTGCAACCACCGAAGTGGTACGCGGCTCACCTCCTGAGAGTGACTGAGCGAAATGGCAGTGTACGTAAAGAAAGCTTGAATCGTTTTAGCTTCAATAGCGAAGACCACATAATGAAGAGTAGCGAGAGTAACAGGCGTGGTAGAGTCAGTTGTTAGTGGCTCTGTTTCTACGAATCACCAACTACGCCAGGAGAAACAATACTGTACGTGTGCGTAAACATGATGGTAGCACGCACTAGTAGAAGGAGCAGCGGCGGTAGCAATAGTAGTAGCGATTGGAATAGCAAAGCAGTAGTAGCAAAAGAAGTAGCAGTCACAGTCGTCTTAATTGTGGAGACCTAATAATATAAATCCGCCGACCCTTTGGGGTCACGGCGTGTGAGATGCTCCCCCCTCCCCGAACCCCTCCCCCAGGAGCCCGGTCCGGCCGGATTGGAGTCCGACGGGGGGGGGGCAAAGGTGTCATGGAGGGGAGGACGAGGAAGGTGAGGTGAGGTGAGGACGCGGGGCGCTGTCTCTTCAAAACGAAGACCCAACAACGAGTTGGCTGGGAGATACCAGTCACGTTACTCCGCGGACCTCTCCCGGGGCGCGTTCTGTTTAAGATATCGAGGCGAATCCAGCGGTGGCGACGAGGATTTCCCACGAGGGCCGAAAAGGGGAAAAAGAGGGAAGGCAGCGATGTGCTCCACCTCACAATACATGTGCACGTTGCGCCCGCTCCACCAGTTTTTGCGTGCCTCCCGTGGCTGTTGCAGCGACCTGCCATCGAGGCAAATTCGTTGCTGCAGATCCCTCAGGACGAGGCCGCGCAGGCAGGCAGCTGCCCTCTGACGGCTGGCGCCCGCCGCACGCCCACCAAGGGGGCAACTATCTTCGCGCTTCGCGCTCCGCGAAGCGCGACTATCTTCGCGCTTTCGCGCCGCCCGCCTCCGCAACAGGATGAGGCACTCGCTCCTCGCTCTGTCTGAGATCGCCCGGGCCGCGAGGCGCGAAGCGCGACCCACTTCGCACCCTCGTGGTGGCCCTACAACCGACAAGCCTCTGCCCCGAAGCCGGTGGCGGCGGCAAGGATACTCGGGGACCAATCCGGCACGCCCAACGCCAGGGCCCACCACCGCTGACGAGGTGCCCCCCCAGTGGCCGCTGCTGGCTCTCCTGCAGCGCCAGAGGCACAAGCCCTCGCGGGCACGAAATACGCGAGATCTAAGGACACAGAACGACCCGAGGAGGAGGAGGAGGAGAAGGAGGAGGAGGAGAAGGAGGAGGAGAAGGAGGAGGACGAGGAGCAGGACGAGGATAAGGCAAGATAGGACACTTCTTCGACCCTTGTCCTGGCTACCTGGAAGCATCTCAGCAAAACGACGCGCCGCCTGGCTTTCCTCTGCGAGCCAGTGGGCAGGACCGAGGAAGGCAACGGTTCAGCCTGAACTGGGGACCGCACTCTGGCGCACCTCTTCTTTCGCATGGGTGCGAGACAACACCGCAAGCATCCCAGGCGTTTGAACAAGGCCCTCCAGTCCCTGAGCTTGCGCCGCCTGGTAGTCGTGGCGGAGGAGGGGGGCTATGTGCCTGTATATGCACGTGCTGACGTGAATGTGCACGCCAGCCAGCAGAGCACTCTGCGCCATCTGCCAGCCCCCGCCGGGGGGGGGGGGCTGAGGTCCTGGGACTGTTCAGCCTTGGGGCTGAGCCGTCTGCCATTATCTTCTTCCTCCTGCTCCTGCTCCTGCTCCTGCTCCTGCTCCTGCTCCTGCTCCTGCTCCTGCTCCTGCTGCTCCTCCTCCTCCTCCTGCTCCTCCTCCTCCTCCTGCTCCTCCTCCTCCTCCTTCTCCTCCTCCTCCTCCTCCTCCATTCCTTTTCCTTACAAATGACTCCTCCCTGTCGCATCCCGAGGCCGGTCGAACGGGCAGGCTGGGCGTTTCACCTGAAACTTCTCACCATTTATGACCCTGAAGCTTAAAATTTAACAAAGGGCGGGTAGGCTTCAAAATGTGGCTCTTTGCGCCACGCACACTCACTGTAAACAGTTGCAAGAGCTTCGCGGGTTGAGGGCGGGCCGTTTTCAAAATGCGGCTCTCGCCTTAGCGCCGCGCACATTCTTCGCAAAAGTTTCACGGATTGTGCGCGGTTCGTTTTCAATATGTGATTATCGCCTTCGCGTTGCGCACGTTCCTTTTACAAGCTTGCAAGAACTTCACGGATTGAGGGCAGTTCCCTTTCATAATGTGGCTCTCGCCTTGACGCCGCGCAAATTCGAGTCATGATTGTCAGGGCGCAGTAGTCACGTTGATTCGCTGTGTTGAAGTCCCAGGAATTGTGTTCTGGTACGATTCGCGATCGCCAAGACCTCACAATCAGGTCAACTCGTGGCGTTGAAGTCCCGAGAATGGGTCTTGGGCACGCTTCAGGAATTTAACACGGTTGTCCCCCCAACGGGGCAACTCCCTCAGTGGAAATGAACCCTTGTAGGGCCTATGAGGAGAAAGCTTGGAGGGAGGGTGTATTCCAACACTGCTGATGAGTCTTAGGTTTGCACTGGTCCTCCTCCTCCTATTCCTCCTCTTCCTCCTCCTCCTCGTCCTCCTCCTCCTTCTCCTCAGTATAGGCGGCAGCAAGACTGGAGGGATACATGAGCAGGGACACGCGAGGAGGCTGAAGAAGACAAGCCTTCTTCACGTCGGTGCTGAACTCCTCCTCGGTCGGCACCTCTCGCAGTGGATCGGCGCGCGTCCTCGGCTGCTTGTACTGGCGAACGGCGACGATGCCCGAGGAGAGGGATATCCCATCGCCCCAGTGGCCCTGCATGCCACCCAGCAGCAGCGTGCCTCCCCCAGGGAAGGGGCGCGTGGCACTGCCCTCGAAGCAAGCGCTGACCTCGTCTCTGCGCGCTTGACGGAACGCGTGCACACGGCCTCGTGCGGTAGCGTGGCGATGCGCAGCACACGCTGCAATGATGCAGCCAGAAAGCGTGCGCCGAACGAAAAAAAAACACATACGCACAGCTGTCAAAGAGTCCGTGGGGAGCATCCCCCACAAACAGCACAAGCGCTGAGTGACACTCGCCCCCTTCTCTCGCATGTGAACGCGTAGAAAGCAGTGCGCGCGCTGTGCACGATAAGGCCTGTCTGCATGGAGACGCATCACTCAAGGAGGCATCGTTAGCCAAGCCTTATTAGTCATTACGGTTACGAAGAGCTGGGGAATACCACCATGCGTCAAACAATTTGCACCGACACTAGAGGCTGCTCGAAAAACTTGGTAACAGCACGAAACTTGTTGAAGCTGACGTGTGCACCCGACCGCCAGCCCGGGACCCGATTGCATGCAGCGCAAGCGCTGGCTTTCCTCCCCCGACTCGTCCCTCCATCCCGCCAGCCTCTCGCCGCCCCCCACGGCCCTCACAATCGCCCTCCTCCCCCCGATCCTCCCCATGCTCCCCGCCACCCTCCTTGTCGCCCTCCTCTTCGATGCCTCCCCCCCCAAAAACACATCATCGCCCTCTTCCTCGTTGCCTTCTCGTTGCTTCGTTGCCTCGTTGCCTCCTCCTCCTCCTCCTCCTCCTCTTCCTCCTCCTCCTCCTCCTCCTCCTCCTCCTCCCCACCACCACAACCATCACCATCACCATCACCATCACAATCACAATCACCACCACCACTACCAACACCACCACCATCATCAACATCAACATCAACATCAGCATCAGCATCATCATCATCATCATCATCATCATCATCATCAGCAGCAGCATCAGCATCAGCATCAGCATCATCAGCATCATCATCATCATCATCATCATCATCAGCAGCATCAGCATCAGCATCAGCATCATCATCGGCATCATCATCAGCATCATCACTAGAATCAGCATCATCAGCATCATCACCATCATCAACAGCAACCTCATCAACAACAACATCAGCAGCAGCAACAGCATCCTTATCATCACCATCATCATCGCAACCACCACCATCACATCCACCACCACCACCACCACCACCATCATCATCATCATCATCATCATCATCATCACCATCATCACCATCACCATCACCATCACCATCATCATCATCGTCATCATCATCAGCAGCAGCAACATCACATCGTCGTCATCATCGTCGTCATCATCAGCATCATCAGCATCATCAGCATCGTCATCATCATCATCATCATCATCATCATCAGTACCATCGTCGTCGTCATCAGCATCATCATAATCATCAGCATCATCCTCCTCATCCTCATCCTCCTCCTCCTCATCATCATCATCATCATCATCAGCATCATCATCAGCATCATCGGCATCAGCATCAGCATCAGCGTCAACATCAGCATCATGATGATGATCATCATCAGCAGCAGCAGCAGCATCGCCATCATTATCCAACTCACCCTCCTCCTCCTCCTCCTCCTCCTCCTCCTCCTCGCCCTCCTTCCCTGACTCGCCGCCCTCAAACTCCTCGCCCTCCTTCTCCAAGTCGCTCCCCCCCCTCCTCCTCCTCCTCCTCCTCCTCCTCTCCTCCTCCCTCCTCCTCCTCCTCCTCCTCCTCCTCCTCAATGCGCCAGCGGCGGCGCCTGGGCGCAGCCGCGCGCGCGCGCGGCGCGCGCGCGCACCCCCCGCGGCCGCCGCCGCCGCCGCCGCCCGCGCGCAGCGGGCAGGGCTGCCACGCGCGCGCGCGGGGGGGGAGGGCGCGCGGGGCTCGAGCGCGCGCGCGGGGGGGAGGGGCGCGCGGAGCCGGGAGCCAACACGCCTGCGCCCCCGACTGAGGGGCGGCGATGTAGAGGGGGAGCGACAGAGGTGCGATAGAGGGGCAAAGATCGAGGGGGATCGATAGAGGGGCAACGATGGAGGGGGAACGACAGAGGGGCAAGGATAGAGGGGGAATGCACATCGCAGCACATCGCCGACGGGACAGCACATCGCCCTAGGACACTGAGTACTGAGTCGGCCTGGAAATCGGCAGCACATCGCCGACAGGGCTCGGCGATGGGCCCCGGACTGCGAAGGTGGCCGGTCGGGCCCCTGTCAGCGATGAGCGTGCGACTAGCCGATGCATCCCCCCCCCATGGCAGAGCCCCTGCCCGCCCTCCTCGGGGGGCGTCAATTGGCCAGCTCAACGACCCCGGCCGCGCCCATCCGTGGGGCCCAGGAGCGGTGTTTGCGCCCCCCTGGCCAAGCCACACCGATCCTGGGCCCAGGATGGGCGCGACTGGGATCGGTGAGGTGGTCAGTTGACGTCCCCCGACCTCCCGCAGCAGGCGGTCTTGAAATTCTCATTGCGCTGTCCACAGTAGCCTCGAACTTTTCCCAGAGCCGTTGTTTGACGGTCCTGGGGCCTGGCGAGGGCCGCCAGAAGCAACAAAAACTATGAAAAAGTCTCCGCCTTGAGCTCTCCAAACGTTGGAGGTCTGGGATGGGGAAGGGGCCCCTGCCGTGTCTCTGATGTTCGGCCTCTAGGGGCCGAGGGACCGTCTCCGATCGACTCGGAAACAGAACAGCTGGTCCTGGGGAGAGCCCAAAGCTCCAGGACCTGCTTCCCTCAGGACCCCCGGTCTCTTATGCCAGGGCAACTATATTCGCACTTCGCGCTCCGCGAATATCTTCGCGAAGCGCAACTAATTTCGCACACCTGTGGTGGCCCTAGCCTCGGGATCCCCTGTCTCTTATGCCAGGGAGACGGTGGGGGGGAGGGGCAGCACTGAACTTGTGGGTGGTCCGCGTGGTGCGCCTTCTCCGCGCGTCCCTGGCTCGCGCAGCTCGCCGCGCGCCAGGTTCGCGCGGGCGGGGGGGCGCCGAGCCAGGAGTTGGAACGCCTACACCTGGACCAACGGACCCATTCTCCTCTCCTCCCCGTCGTGATCATCGTCATTACAGTCATCATCGCCATCGCCATCGCCATCGCCATCGCCATCGCCATCGCCATCGCCGTCATCATCATCATCATCATCATCATCATCATCATCATCATCATCATCATCATCATCATCATCATCATCATCATCATCATCATCATCAATCATCATCATCATCATCATCATCATCATCATCATCATCATCATCATCATCATCATCATCATCATCATCATCATCATCATCATCATCATCATCATCATCATCCTCATCCTCATCCTCATCCTCATCCTCATCCTCATCATCCTCATCGATCATCATCGTCATCGTCATCATCAGCATCAGCATCAGCATCAGCATCAGCATCCTCATCCTCATCCTCATCCTCATCGTCATCGTCATCCTCATCCTCATCCTCATCAGCAGCATCATCAGCATCAGCATCAGCATCATCATCGCCATCATCCATCATCATCACCATCATCATCAGCATCATCATCATCAGTCTCATCATCAGTATCATTGTCATGATCATGATCATGATCATCATCCTCATCATCCTCATCATCAGCATCATCAGCATCATCTTCAGCATCATCATCAGCAGCATCCTCATCAGCATCATCAGCATTCATCCTCATCCTTATCATCATCAGCAGCATCACCACCACAATCACCATCACAATCACCAACACAATCACCGCAACCACCATCACCGTCACCATCAACGTCACAATCATCATCAGCATCACCATCATCTTGTCATCATCACCGTCATCATGATCATGATCATCATCCTCATCATCATAATCATCATCATCATCATCATCATCATCATCATCATCATCATCATCATCACAATCATCACCATCACCACATGATCGGCATACTCGCCCTCATCCTCATCCTCATCGGCAGCATCAGCATCAACATCAGCATTAGCGTCAGCATCACCATCACCATCATCAGGATCATCCTCATGGTCATCATCATCATCATCATCATCATCATCATCATCATAATCGTCATCATAATCGTCATCATCATGGTCATCATCATCATCATCACCATCACCATCACCATCACCATCACCATCACCATCATCATCATCATCATCATCATCATCATCATCATCATCATCATCATCATTACTATCATCATCGTCACCATCCGCATCATCATGATCATCATGATCATGATCATCATCATCATCATCATCAGCATCATCATCATCATCATAACCACCACCAGCATACTCATTATCCTCATCCTCCTCCTCCTCCTCCTCCTCCTCGTCATCATCATCATCATTATCAGTATCATCATTAACATCATCACCATCCCGTCGAGGATCAACAGCCCGTCGCGCATCGCGGGGCGCGATGCTCGAAAATGGGTGACCCTGGACACACCCGATGGTTGGCGTCTACCTTGCCCCTTTTTTGACGATTAGCCCAGGGGGGAAGTGAGAAGGGGCGGGCCTTCTCAGAAGGCTCGGAAGTCCCCCCCCAGCTGTCTCAGAAGTTCTCTAAGCCCCGAAGACACTGAAAACCTCTGAAGGCGCGAGGGCTTCTGAGAAGTCCCCCCATCGCTCGCCGCCGATGTTTGTTAGAGTTGCTCTCTGGCTGTCCTCTCTGCCTGCTCGCCCGCGCAGAGGGGCCGAGGGGGGCGGCATGGCGAGGGGGGCCGGCCTTCGAGAAAAGCGCCCCGCCTCCCAGGTACTGCCTGCCCCAGGAACCGGAGCAAACATCTGCATAAACATGGCGTCTCGGAGGTCCTCGCGGATTCCTCGGATCCGCGCCAGACCCACCTCCCTGGCGCGCGGAGCGCGCCAGGGGCGGCGCCAGAGGCGCCGCCAGGGGCGCCCCCGAGCCGATCCAAGGAATCCGCGCGGAGCTCCGATAATCTATGGTATGTTGTGCCGCCTCTCCTCCCTCCCCAAGAGGATGGAGGAGTGGCAGGAGTGGCAGGTGTCGGAAACAACTGAGCAACACTCACGCGTAACATATGGTGTGAACTCCCCCCCCCTCCCGCCGAATGCAATGCTGATGTCGGATCTTCCGAGCTCCGAGCTTAATAATGTACCTCAACGGTCGCGCATCCATTCTTATGCGCGTTGATTCTATGTCTCCCCCGAGAGGCGCGAAGATAATCACGGATCACGCGCCGCGGCCCAGACTGGAGAAGCTACTTCTCCAAAGAGGCGTGACGAGGGCGCGAGGGCGCGAAGATGAGCGCGCATCGCGGGACGCGGGGCGCGATGCGAAGTTAGGTTTTTGCGAGGATGGCGAGGAGGATGAGATGCTCGCTGAGGGAACCTTCTGGCAGGAGACACGCGTTCCACTCATGCGTCGATGCTGCGTCGAACGCCCGTCGAACGTTCGTCGAGCTTGAATCGAGCTGGAGTCAAACAGATCCCTCAGGTGGGCCCCAGGAAGCTCCCCATACGTTGGGGCCTTGGTAGATGCTGGTGTGGAGCCGACGCCCCCAGAACAATGGGGGGGGGCGTCGGCGGAGAGTCGGCGGCGCGGGCGCGCTCTCCAGCTGCGGGTCCGCCACCAGCTCGTGCAGGAGCGCCTCTCGAGGATAAAAAACAGCACCAGTCAGCATGAGCACAAACGTTCGACGGTCCGCGGCGATATCTTGGATCTGCGCTGGCCCCCCGTCTGGCGGCGCCTCCGGCGCTGCCCCTGGCGCGCTCCGCGCGCCAGAGAGGGGGGGGGCAGCGCAGATCCGAGACATCCGCGCGGACCTTGGCGTGGGGGAAACTGCTCAGGGAGGGAAAAGGGGTCCTGGACCCTGGGGCCTTCCCCCAAGACCAAATCTTCATCCCGAGTCGCTTTCCGACAGCCCCCGGGGCCCGTGGAGGGCCCCGAGGGCCCTGAAACGGCGAAAGGCCTCAGGACCTGTTTCCTTCAGGACCTGCTTCCCCCATGGCGATCTGTGTTTGTGCAGTTGTTTGTTCCTCGAGGCTCGTGCAGAAGCGCCTCGTCCGTGACCAACTTCAGCAAGGACTCCTGCCGCCCGCGGACCGCGAGGCCGCCCGGCCCTCGGGGAGGCCAACCGGCAGCCTCTGGGCATCCGGAGCGCGCAGCAACTTCAGGCCGAGAGCTGCGAGCACACACGCCATGTTCGTATGTATGTATATGTGCACCAGCTGTCGATGTACATGTATGTACGCATATTATGGACTCGGCTATGCATCAAATGCTGCCTCGTAATTCCTGTGAGCGCCAGTGGATCTAGTGCACATACGTGCTGCAAAGGTTGTTGCCATGAACGGGCATATGCATACTTACACATATAATCATACATATATATATATATGTATATAGACGTAAGCATATAGATATGCACATAAACGTATACATATACATACATGAACCATCGCGCGCGCTTCGCGCGCGCTCAAGTTCAAGCTAGGCTTGATGGGCTAAATCATGGAATATCATTGTTGTCGCTTCTTGCATCGAAGGACTCTCTTGGAGGCCCTGCGCAAGTCTCGGAACCGTTTAGGAGGGGAACTGTGGAAACGCAGAAATTATTAGCTTCCGTTAGGTATTCAACGATTTGGGGCCCTCAAAGGCTTCCTGGTTTCTTTTCTGGGAGCTGAGGGGGGCCTTGATTGCGGTCTGTTCAAGAGTAGACATGCGGCGAACTTGACAAAAAGAGAGGAAATTGTAGAATTTCCATGTTTTTCAAGTTGCCGTGCCTGGGCTGTGGGTTGGAAGTTTTCTGGATGCAGGCCACGGTCCGTTGGGATGCCTCTCGGGATCTCCGTGCAAAAATAAGCAGG